GGAACGGACAGTGAACATACTCCTACACCAAAAGATCAGCCAGCCAGAAAACTTTGTGGCTTAAGTCATTCTGTACAGCAGCAAACACACTTCCATGTAGAGATCTCTGGTGCTCTAAGGCTAACCTGGGGGCTCAGACAGCAAAAGAGAGCCTAGAACCTTCTAGAAGGGAGTTGGTGACTGTGCCTCCTGGCTATACTGCATCCCCAGAGCTCACCATGGCTCAGTGACAATGAACATGGACAGGGACTTCTGGTACCTCACATGAGAACAGATAGCCTTCAACATATCAGTAAGAATGGCTATATTAATATCTGACAAAGTAAGCTGAAGTTTTTACTTCTGAAGGGGGGAAAAAATTACTAAAGACAAAGAGGGACATTACATAATGTTAGAAGGATTAGCTTGCCAGGAAGATAGAATGATCCTGACTGCACACACATCAAACAACAGAGTCTCAAAATACATGAAATGAAAACTGATAGAGCTGAAAGAAGAAATAGGCAAATCCCCAATTATAGCTAGAGACTTCAGTCCCCATCTAAGCAACCAATAGAACTACCAGACAGAAAATCGGCAAAAATATAGAAGATCCGAACTGTAAGATTTAATTGACATATACAGAACACTCTACTCGAAACAGCAGCAGACACAGTTTTTTCACATCATGTGCCATAATACAAACCTCAAACAGATTTAAAATAATTGAAATCATGCAGTGTGCTTTCTGACCATAATGGAATCAAACTACAAATCAATAGCAACTGTTTCTCGGCCTTTTGGCTAAGACCAAGTTTAGAAATTAGTAACAAAAAGACACGGGAAAACCTCTAAATCTATGAATATTAAACAACTCACTTCTAAATAATCCATGGATCGAAGAGGATGTCTCAAAGGAAAGTTTTTTAAAAATACATAGAAATGAATAAAAATAAAAACACAGCCTATCAAAATATGAGGGAAATAACTAAAAACAATGCTGAAAAGAAAATATATAGCATTAAATGCATATATGAGAAATAAGAAATGGTCTCAAGTCAATAACCCACATTTCTACTTTAATAAATTAGAGAGAGAAGCACAAAATAAACCCAAAGCAAGCATAAGGGAGGAAAAAATAAAGATGAGAACAAGAGCAGAAATTAATAAAATTAAAATGGAAAACAATAGAGAATATCAATGAAATAAAAGGCTGATTCTTTGGGGAGGAAACAACAAAATTGATAAACCTCTAGCAAGAATGACAAAAATAAAGGGAGAAGACACAAATCACCAATATTGGGAATAAAATAGGAGCTATCACTACAGATCCTATAGCCATTAAAAAGAATAGCTAATACAGTACTAAGAACAACTTCACCATGCATTCGACAGCTTAAAAGAAAGACCAGTTCCTCAAAAGCCACAAACTATCCAAATTCAAAGATGAAATAGATCATCTGAATAACCTGCAGCTATAAAAAATGAATTTATAATTTAAAACCTCCTGGAAAACAAATCTCCAGTCCCAGTAGGTTTCCCTGGAGAATCCTACCAAATATATAAAGAAGAATCAATTATCTTGGGCCATGAGGCAACACTGAGGGAAGAAACCATATGCTAAGGATGGTGAAATAGAGAGTTAGAAAGAACCAGCAACCGGGGCATGCAGATTAGTCAAAAGAAAGGACTCTAGTCCTATTTGCCCTTGAACATGGTAGCAATAAAGTAAAGTAAGAACTCCAAATTCCCATCTGTTTTTTCAGGTCTGGATGGAACCCTATAAGAAAGAAGACGATTTTTTTTCTTTTTTACATAACATAGAAATCTTAAAGCAATTTTCTTATGGAGTAATAAGAGCATGAGCTTGGGAGTTAAATGGGCCTGATTCAAATCGCAGTTCCACGATAGCTGTACAACCTTGGGAAAAGCTGCTTAATTGAGCTTCTAGCTCCTCTGCCGTCAAACGCAGCAGATAGCCACAGTGCAGACACAGTGTCTGGTGCATAATAGGTGCACAGTGAAGTTAGCTCCCTTTGTCTTCTCCCTTCAAATTCCCCTCCACCTCTTTGTTTCATAAACTGGCTCTGAAAGCACTTCCAGAAAAATATCCTGCCTTAATGTGAATAATTATAGCATCAGTGAGGAAAGTCTCTCCCTCCCAAAGGGACGGCTTCAAAGGGCCAGCAGCCATGGAGATTTTTGTCTGTTCATATTTTTTAAATTCCCATATTTACTGTGTGCAATAAGTGGAACAATGTTTGGGAGCTGCTCTGATGCCCTCGGAGTCAGGGCTCCCAGAGGCACAGGTGTTGAATTTGAGGAACTTACCACATTGGCCAGCTGTGTGATGGCCACTTCAAAATGCACCGTGACGGGGTCAGAAACATTTTCCACGGGCCTGATGAATTGGTTATAATGAGAAAACAGTTTGTGAAAGAGTCTCTCCTCAGACGCACAGCCTGCGCAATCTGCATGGCCAAACAGAGGGGGAAATTAGAGAGCAAAGAGGATGCTGGTAGGTGTGGAGTTTCTGGCAGCTTCCATCACTGGGAGGTCAGGCAGTGGGGAGTCCAAGATAGAAACAGTAACGCTTACATCTCAGGACTAGTGCAATAGCAAAGGAAATAATGTTAGTAAAAACACTTTCAAAAGTCTAAGGCACCACAGATGTAAAGAGATAAAAAGTCTAAGGCTCCAATCTTTGCTTATGTCACTGAATTTAACCCACAATCTTACTGATCCAGTAATTAAGAAATAGTCCAATTAAGGAGTTGTCAAAATACTGATCCAACTGGCCTGTTTCTTCACCTAGCAAGTTGCCTAGCTGGGAAAGCTTCACAAGCAAACTGAAATAACTAGTAAGATCATTAACCAGCTGTACTCCTTTCTAAAGCCAACCTTGAAATTAAATTATTTTGGAGATTTGCGAGAGCACAAGGCTTTTAAGGCAAAATTACTTAAACTGAATGCAAAATTGCTTCTTAAATAATAGTATTTTCAGTTGCTTAATTTTAGACACTAATTTAATGCCTATCTCTTTGTATTTTTCTAAGAATGCATTAAAAGTAGGCTACTTGCCTTCATTTGGCATAATTCACTTCATTAATGCCACTCTCTATATTTTCCCTTATAGAATTCAAATTTGACACCTGAAATATTATTGAAAGAAAAAAAATTAAAGAAACTAAAAGACCCATTAGGTAAAAATGAACAAAAGGACGGGTGTTATATTATTAAATAAAAAGAGTTGTTTGACAAATGCATTTGGAAACACTGAAATTTCAGCAGGAAAGAACAATGTAAAACAGCATTCTTGCCATCATAATTAATAATGGGAGAAGTATTTCTACCTATTTCTATATCAAACAGACCCAAAAATCCTCTCCATTACCCATTTCCCCACCCTGAGCCTTTTTTTCCTTTGGGACATTCTAGAGAAACCCTCCATGAGCCAATGACACATGGAAATGTGGTTTCGTTCAGGCAGAGTGGCCGTTGTCTGTTTCTGTCTTAACTTTTAAAATGAATGATCTTTCTCTTAGGACACATTTCAGCATAGCAATATGACATGTTTCCCAAAACAAAGATGATTACCTACAAAATGAAAGAATTCATACTCTGAGTAATAGTACCAGCTAACAAATAGATCAGCTTTGGAAAAAAAAATTAAATACAAATACAAATAAATAAGTTGAATACATCCATGGCACAGGTGTATAGAAAACTGCATATCACTCTTATTACCATATTTTAATTAGGAAATTAAAATAAAATAGGGTTTACAATGTTTCATTGTCCTCCCCATGCCACCCCCAAGATCCGTTTACACGTTAAACCTAACCAATAAAAAATAGATTAACAGTTGTAACAACAGAAATTCCTGTGCAGACACTACATATTTACCGTAGAATATTTCCTCTCTCTGCTCAATCAGGCACAACTAGAAAAGAAGGGTAAATACAGTGCCTGTAACTAAAAAGAGATTATGAGATAAAGCAGAAGCAAAACCTACCTTTAAAGAAAGGTATGAACAGATAGAGCCAGAGACACAAACCAAAGTGAAGGCATCCCCGGCCCTTGCTGGTCAGCATGGTTAAAACACACCTGGATTCCTTTTTCTAGTCAGAGGACTGTGGGAAACAAAGAGCTATCAGACAGCCACTCGCATCAGACCTTTAGATCATCAGTCCCACTGCAACCCATGTGTGTCTTCTGCAAAATAAAAACATTCGCAAACATAACACGGACGTTCCCAATATCAGAGGCCAACAAAAAGAACAAATCAAAAGGACTCAGTCTGATGTCAGAGGAGTCATCACGTTTCCTGTCACCCGAGATCTCTCCTCCTGCGAGAAGGGCGAGGAAAGGCAGCGAGGGAACTCAAGGAGGACAGGACAGAGGGACGGCACACACTGCCCTGCTTAGCAGACCTTTCTCTAGCGCAGCCTCAACCTTAATCCTTAGGGGAAAACACACATTTACTGAGCTCTGACTATAGGTAAAGTGTATGCTGGGCCCCACATAGTGTATTCTGATTCACTGAGTTCTCTAGTTAATCAAGGCTTAACCCTGTTATTAGAAAACTTCCTAAAATATTAATCACCCTTTCTGTCTTAATAAGAGTGGCTTATAGAATTAGTTTGGTTCTGTCTGACTGCAGTTCTTCAAGGTCAGCGACCACCATCCAGGACTAGAGATTAAATGCCGGAGAAAGAGATGAATGATACTGAACACAGGATGCCACCTGAATAGTTCTGTGTTTATTTAAACATCCTTGTCACCAAATATAGATAGATGATAGATGATAGATAGATGATAGATAGATGATAGATAGATAGATAGATAGATAGATAGATAGATAGATAGATAGATGATAGATAGATAGATGATAGATAATATTATTCAGCCATGAGTAAGAAGGAAATCCTTCCATCTGAGATAATATGGATGAAACTAGAGGATATTATACTAAGAGAAATAAACCAGATAGAGAAAGACAAATACTGTATGGTCTCACTTATATGTGGAATTTTTAAAAGTAAGATTCATAGAAGCAGAGAGTAGTTGCTCAGAGCTGGGGGTGGGAGTAATGGGAAGATGTTTGTCAAAGGGTATGAACTTTCAGTGATAAGATGGATAAACTGGTGACCTGATATACAGCAGGATGACTATTGCATACTTGAAATTTGCTAAGAGAATAGATCTTCAGTGTTTTCAGCACATACATGCACAAATGATAACTGAGGGGATGCATATGTTAATTAGCTTGATTGCAGTAATCACTTCACAATGTATATGTATATTAAATCATCACATTATACACCTTAAATATATACAATTTTATTTGTCAGTTTTATCTCAAAAAAGAAAGGGACTTGGCCCTGAAAGTAACCTGGTTTCATAGTTTTCCCATATCTATCCCCAGTCACTCCACCTCACCCCTTTTAGAATAACATATGCTGAAAACCCAATGTGTCAGGAAATTGACAAGCTTCAGAGAATAACTGTTGGGTTCCTTTCTTGTTTTTGTTCACAGAAGCTAACATCAATTTGGAGGTTTTCTAAGGAAAAAAAAAGTGATTCTATTTAATATGAAACTTCTGTCATTAATATTA